GAGAAACAGAGAAATAAGTTTCCCAGGAGACAAGAGTTCATAAAGAAATCTGTCAGGAATAGCATCAAATTGTTGGCCATATTTCCCAACCATTCTTCGGTCTCCAACTTTTGATAAAAAATTTTGAGACCAAGATTTATGAGCACAAAACAGATTCCAACTTAAGATGACCATGAACAGAGGAGGGATGGGGGGGAGAGGGAAGGGGCAGAGGCGGGGGAGAAATGGCCAAAACAATGTATGCACATGTGAATAAATGAAATAAAAAAATTTTTTAAAGCCTGTAACAATGGACTTTTAAAAGATTACATGATTTCATGCTAGGTTTGATGCACACACCTGTGATCCTGATACTTAGGAACAGAGGCAGAAAGCCTGGGTTACATACCATGATCTCAAAAAATTATCTCAAAAAATAGATAATTTCTAGTGAGCTAAAATAGGTAGAAAAATGACTAACTTCTCTATTTTTACATTGTACTTTAATAACTTGATATGTATTTGGAATTAGTTGGATTCTTCCTTATTCATCTTTGCAATCACTGAAATGAATAAATATACTCACTCTATAACCCAGAAGAATATTTGCAACTTGTTTGTCTTGGATCTTATTGATCATCTGTTCCCTATAATTTGGGCAAGTTCCTGAAATTCTAGTCCTCTTAGTTCATTTCAGTCCCCTTTGAAACCGCAGTCTCTCATTCCATTTGCAATATTTAGAGTCATTCTAGGTTTGGCATACTGGCATTTTTTTTTTCTTTTTTTAAATTTTTAAAACTTTATTTTTCAACCACTACAAATACTTTATACAATATTTCAATGTAAAGTTCCCATAATACAAAGGTAACAAAATGGAAATGATAGTGAGAGGGTTAAAGTGGCACAAGTTCACCAAACAAGTGTTAAACTGCAATTTTTAAGAGATAGATTACTTTTAACGTTGAGAACAAAAGAACAATATGAATAAAATGCAGTCACTTTCCACCAACTCAGTCATTCATTTAGAGGGAGGCATAAAAACACATGAAGAATAACAATGATTCTTAGGAAGAGGCCTATTTGTTGTTTTTAATGTCTATAAGAAACTCAAGTGGAAAAGCTGCTATGTAAATTCATTTATACTTATGTGTAGACATACATGTAAAAAGGCCTGGGATGCATTCTGTACACTGACATATTGCTACATAGTCTTTCATAATATAATAGCTATAAATCAGTGCCAGGTAATAATCTTAGAGGACAATGTCCATTTGGATATATGAATATGACAGTAGAAGAGGTATAAAAAAGAGTCCATCTCCAATGTGGTTTCCTCTCCATTGTGCTAGCAATCTGTCTGTAATTTTTTTAAAGGGGATGGGGGAAGTGATAAATTATGTGCTCCTCTCTGTCTATAATTCATATAAAAGAAAAGCATCAAGCTCTGGTGTGTGAACAAACATTTAAAAATGATTCAATCTGTCATCCCTGAAATCTGCAATAAAATACAAATAACAGAACATGCTATTCAAGGCTAAGTTCAACCATTCCCTTCTCTGCTCTGTGCCAAAAACAAGGGCCACACTCAGAACTGAGTTGCCAGTCCTGTGACAAGGAGTCAGGTCATTTGCCATCTTATAGTGCCCTTCTCTTTGCATCTCAAACCCCTGGGAGCCCAGCTCAGGGTTGGGCACCACCAAAGAAGCAGATGTCTGAATTGAATCAGTGCAATGAGAAGCCTGTCAGCAAGCAGCTGTGTGTTAGGACTTTTGAGTAAGCTTCAACTAGTCTTGCAACCTTGGTAGGTAGGTTTCACATCCTTTGATGTAGTGCTTACCCCAAGTTGAACATACACTATTCTTTTACTCATTCAAGGTTTGTTTCATTTGGGGGGCTTTTCTACAGGAAGTTCCTGGAGTCCTTCAGTTCATGCCTGGCACTCCTGTCCTCTCTTTCGTTTTCACTTAGGTCTTCAGTAGCTGCCAGCTGAAAGCTTCAGGTGATTTGGCCCCTTCTGTTCTCTAGATTTACAGTCTATTTTTTTCTTACCTGCCAGAGCAAACTTGCTTTGTAAAACAGCTTTCTTTTCTGTAGCCTCATGTGCAAGGTAGGGGAAGGTTTGCTAGAAGTTGAGCAGAATGATTCTTAGAAACAGCTTTGAGGTTTTTTGCCCTTGATGTGAGAAGTTTTGGCTATTCTTATGGGACTAGAGTTCCTGAAAGAAGGTGAGCTTGGGGTTTTGGACTTGAATTTGTCGTTTTGTTTGGACCTACAGGACAAGAAGGGCAGCTGGACTTGTGCAGGGCCTGAACTTCCAGCTCTGCTCTTGCCCACAGGCATCTGTGTGCTCTGCATTCTAGTCTCTGCATCCACTATCCATCTACAGTGGTTGAGACATTTTTCTTAATAATTCTAAGAAATGTTTGTTAATGACTATTTTAAATTATTTGCAGATTAATTTACCAGTGCCATAATCTATGGAGCACATATGTTGAAATAGATCTGACTGTTATCTGGGGGAAGAAAATACAAAGCTGTTTGGTTCTATTCATGGTACTTCCTTTGGATCATTCATATTGCTACAGGAAATCTTCAGCCTAGAGACAGGTTCTAGTAAGCAACTTTTTTTTTGTGGGACCAGGGTTTGAACTCAGGACTTCACTCTTGCAAAGCAGGTGCTAGCAAAGCAGGTACTATAATGCTTGAATCACACCTCCAGTCCATTTTGCTCTGGCTACTTTGGAAATGGGGTCTCATGAACTATTTGTTCAAGCTGGCCTTGAAACCTGAGCCCCTCCCTTCAATCTCAGCCTCCCAAGTAGCTAGGATTACAGGCATGAGCCACCAGTGCCCAGTGAGAGCAACTTTCTCAAACAGACGTCAAGAGTACCCTCAGCTCATCCCACTATTAGAGGATAGACCTGTTCATGTCCACAACATGGGATGTGTGCACTGCAAGGGCTTGTCAGGAGTAAAGCTGATTTTGTATTCATTGACATCAAAGACCTAAGTCTCTGATGCAAGAAATGCTTATGAATACTGCTTGAAGGATATTTCTGGATATTTCCTCTCTTTAATCATGAAAGTCTGATATAGTTGGACTTTTGGGGGTTCCTTTTTTTTTTTAGTCAGGGTCTTTCTCTGAAGGCCAGGAAGGTCTCAAATGTGTATAATCCTTCTACTTCAGCCTCCTATTTGGTGAAAAGGATTACAAGTGTGTGCTACCACACTCAGCAAGTTGGATAATTTGATACTATTACATTTCTACAAATACATTTGAAAACACAGCATCCATCCACATTAAGGAATACTAGAATTAATTTTCTTAAATTTCAGTGGGAAGAATAGATATTGTTTCTCTTAACAAATTTGGTTTTAAAAATCATACACCCTTGGACTGGGTATGGCTCAAGTGGTAGAGCCCTGAGTTCAAACCCCAGTCCCACAAAAAAAAAATCATAAACCCAGTATGAATTTCATTTCGTATCTGATTTCTCTCTCTGAATCAGGCATTAGAACTTAAAGCCAAATTTGTGACCAATTCTAACTAGAGCAGGGATACCACCTTCTGTGGTGTACGTTGGTTTCTCTGTTTTAGTTTTCTATTCCCCTATTTTTCTTTTGCTGTGCCTTGACAACTCATTTTCTTTCACTGTATACTATGAAATTTTAAGCTATCTCAAACTCCTTTTAGAACAATGCAGGATATAAATAAATTTGGGGGATAAATATTGTGTGTGGTTAACACAATTCCTTCACTCAATGTGCCAGCAACTTCATACATAGCTTTCAGTCCTCAGATTTTCTGCTGTCATGTGGATGCATGCAAAATGCACGAGGCCCACAATTATATCGAATTTATAATTAAGCCAGACAAGTGAGAATTTAGCATTTGTTTTGACTCTTTAAGGCTGGAATGATGCAAGACCTGGGAAACTGGCAGGGTGGCGAGGCTAGTCGCTGCCATGTAGGTAACACCTGAGAAGGAAAATTGTCAGTGGGTCCAACAAAATTCCAGGCCTGGGAGATAATTTTCTTGATACAGTACAAGGAAGGACATTTTCAGAGTCTTGTAGTGAGCACACACTGAAATCACTGCTCAGTGACTGAACTGGCCTGCGAGTTCCCTCTAGTGGTGTCAACATTCAAGTCATTCAAGTCACACTCCCAACTGCCTGTAATATGGAATTGTCCTATTTTTTTCTTCTTGCAAATCTACCATAATAATGTAATGTCCTTCCAATGGTAATTTGGACTTTTAATCTTAAATTTTCTTGAGCATTTTTTAAAACAAACATATATGTATAGCTTTTACCATGTGCTAGGTACTATTTTAAGAATCTCTCAAACATCAACCTGTTGAATTATTGTAACAATCCTATGAAATAGGTACTATGTTTACAGATGGGAGAAGTGAGTCACAGAACTTTCCAAAGGTCACACAGCTATTCCACATGGTCCCCAGAAATGGCATTATAAATTGGCAGGATGGAGGGAATGCACACATGCATTAAACCCAAATTTGGTAAAATACAAGAATTGAAAGAGAGTGACATAGAGACCACCAGAATGGGGTTTGTGGAACTTAGATTCAAATTCTTTCTTTGCAATTGGGTAGGTAAGGTGCTTATCAACTCAGTGGACTGCAAAAGAACTAAAAAAGAGTTGTCATGGGCCATCAAAGCCTTAACTGCCCATGCTTTATTACTTTAAATCTGGTCCTAGAGATGACGTTTTTATAGATAATCAAGCAAAGGACTGGGATGTAGCTCAGTGGTAGAGCACTTACCTAGCATGTGTGAAACCCAGGTTTGATTCCCAGCACTGCCAAAAATAAATACATAAATAAATAAATGGATCAAGCACTTTACTGGGCATAGTGGTTGAGGACTATAATCCCAGCACTCAGAAGGCAGAGGCAGGAAGATCACTAGTTTTGAGACCAGCCTGGACTATATAGAAGGACTCTGTATCAAGCAAAACAAAAAGCATAATACAATACTCACACTCAGGATACTTACAACGACTCTGGTATATACTTCTTCAGCGAAGTCAAGGTTCTGGAACCTGCGTTCTGTAGGAAATGTGTATTTGGTCAACCAATCCAAAAGCTGCAGATCTACATTGCTTCCTGCAAAGAAATACTGAGGAGCATGGATGTGTGTATCAACCAGCCCAGGCATGAAGAACTCACTGGAAATTAAAATGAGAGGGAAATCATTTAATAACATCTTTTGTGACTTATTATTCCTTTAAAATCTCATTTTCTCTTGACAATGATTTAATTGTCTATCCTACATAGGATTGTAGCTGATGCAATCTGATAACCTTATGTTCTCTATTACTAAGAGGTCAGGAAGTAAGAACAAAGCTTGCTAAGACCGAGTTCCTAAGTTGCAATGTGACAGGTATAGGGTTAATCAGAAAGTATGAAGGGAGGAAAATGCACAGAAGTGAGGAGAAACAAAGCAGTTGTAGTGCAAGAAATGAGGGAAATTATAACTTAAACCTATGACTTTGTTCTCATAACTGGTGGTTCTAAGATAGAGAGCAAAAATGGGAGAGGAGGGATTCAAAGCTTCTAGAACCATGGTGAGGAATATGTACACATATCACTAAGAGAGACTGAACATGAGAAGCAGAGTGGTTACAATTTTAGGCTCAATGGTCATCTAGATCTTGGCTGGCTGTAAGAAGGCTAGTCCCTCCTCATGAGCTCAAGGTGCTGAATTCTAAAGTAGAAGCGGCAAGAACATACTGGGGCTGGTTCAAGAACAGTGACCTTAGGAAACAAGAGTATACATGGGTCACTGTATGAACGGTTAAGTGAATGTGGTGACCGCCACTTATGATTCTTTCTCCTTCCTTCTTTCCTTCCTTCCTTTCTTCCTTCCTTCTTTCTTTCATTCCTATCTCCCTCCATTCTTTCTTCCCTCCCTCTCTCTCTTTTTCTTTTTCTTTTCTTTGCAATTTTTAAAAATATTTATTTGTGATCCATGGTTGGTTGAATACACAGATGCAGAACCCATGGACACAGAAGGCCGACTGTACAATGTTTTATACACAAAGCCTCTAAATAATGTTTATCATCACATGGTATTTCTGAACATATTCTGTAGTCATGACCTAGTTTAAACTTTTTCTATGGGAAAGCGAGTTTATAAATTTAACACTCAGAACTGTAGGCACGTGTACATATACATATTTCTCTCTTTCCAAGAGATTTTGAGCCTTCTTGTAAATGCTGTTGAGGTTGACTTTGGCAGTCCGTGGACCCTCCAGTACTGGACAGCTCCTCACCCAGCCCAGTCCTGCAGTTCATGTCTACAAGGGCATGCTAGTTTATGAGACAGAATCTCTCTATGTAGAGTGAGCTGGCTTGGTGCTCATGACCCCTCTGCCTCTGCACATCTGGTTCACCATTCATGTTTCTGATCAGTTCTGCTACTACCATCATCCACCAATTTTCACATTTCTATTCATTCTCATACTAGGAAGTTCTAGAAATATTTTTTAAGAGTTTTCATAAGCACTATCCACAGAACTGATGCAGGCCTATATTAACAGACACATAAGCTAATCCGGTTCAGCAGTGTCTATTAAGTATCCAAACTCAACCAAACAGGTATCTTTTGTGTGTGTGTGTGTGTGTGTGTGTGGAAAGCGGTCTGAACTCAGGGCCTCATTCTTGCTAGGCAGATACGTGACCACTTGAGCCATTCTGCCAGCCCTTTTTTTGTGTTGGGTATTTTCGAGACAGGGTCTTGAAAACTATTTGCCCAGGCTGGCTTTGAACAGTGATCCTCGTTATCTCTGCCTCCTGAGTAGCTAGGATTACAGGCAAGAACCATGGGTACCCAACACAGATATATTTTAAAAGATGGTATGCACTTGCAGTGCTATCACTCTGGCCAAATGTTGTTAAATCACATAAGAGACTTGAATTCGAAACTTGGCATCAGAAAGAATACTTTATGCTACCATATGAAATGTATGCATAGCCCCCCCAATGTAAGACAAGCAAAGCCATGAATAGCTCTAAATGCTTCACTTAAATAACAGACCTAGGGCTGGGGTCATGTCTCAAGTGATAGAGTGCTTACCTAGCCCACTAGAGGGAGTAGGTTCAATCCCTAGAGAGAGAGAGAGAGAGAGAGAGAGAGAGAGAGAGAGAGAGAGAAACAGAGAGATTGAGAGCTAGGAATGGTAATGATGGTGTCAATAGCTGCTAACAGTTACTGAATTTGTACATGTACTGGAAACTGGACACAGAATCCTATGTTCATCGTGTCACTTGTCAGGAATAGTTTATTATAGGGGTTAAGTGTATACATTCTAGACTCAGACTGCCTGAATCAGGCTCCACTATAAACCAGCAGTTGACAGGAGAATAAAAGGAACCCAGGAGATTAATGAAGGAAGAGTTTCAAGAAAGGGCAAGGTAGTGTCCAGTGACAAAATCTTCAAGGGTCAAGGATGCAAGGCCTTTCTTGTGTGGCCTCAGGAATGACCCTAAGACTCCACTTAAAAGTACTTACTGAGTTTCTGCATGTTTTAGTCACTGTCCTAGGCTGAGGAAAGAGTGAAAAAATTGAGAGATGGGTGTTAGAGAAAGAACTGGGCAGATGGAGAACTTCTGTGGAAAACTTGGTAATGAAAGGTAGGATGGGGAAGAGTGAAAGTTACTTTTTGTTGAGCGTGGTCATCAGGAGCAGATACACAAGAGCAAAGAAGATAATTCAGGGTACAAAGTCTTCAGAGGCAACAGAAGAACAGGGATTCATTGCATTTGAAGTAAGACTTTCACCCAGAAAAGTTAAAAATCCTTTTTAGGAAACAGGAAACATTGTGAAATATCTATCAATAGCACTGACTATAGGCAAAACAGAGAGGAGGTGAAATAGCTTTCCTCTTTCCATTTAATCACCACAATAATTCCCATAGAAAAATCTCAACTTCTTCAGATAAAAAACCATCAACTGTATTTCAAACCTGCAGTATTGGCCCAGCCATATCATAACCTAAGGAAAAAGAATAATACACACCCCTATATATAGCTGTCAGGCTACATCTACCCATCTTTTACTTATTTTTCATTTCAATTTTTCCAGTGCTAGGGATTAAATCCAGGGCTGTGTGAATACCAAGCACATACTCTACCACTGAGTGACACCCTACTCCCTACTCATCCATTCATCTTTGAACCAAGTGGAAAACACTAATAAAAGCTCTAAATCAGAGCATGTGACTAGCACTGCATATAAAAGACTTGCTGAAGAAATAAACCAATGATGGCAGCCCCTTGTTCTCTACTTACCTAATTCTTCCCACCTTCCCCATTAAACCACTAATTAATCAATTTGAAAAGTCTCTCTGTCTCTCAAGGTAGGTCTCCAATCATTTGAACTTAGTTAATGGCACCCAGCAAAACGAAGATGCTGGTGGTGACTTACTGATGGCTCAATTCTCTTATTTCACATGGCTTGAAGCACCATTCTTTGGCCAGTTTTTCTTGTTGAGATGCCTCTTCTATAAACACTATCTTTAAAAGAAAGAAAGAAGAACCATGTATTAATGAATCATAGTCATTTGCTATCATTAAGCATATAAATCTTTTTAAAGGAGACTAAGTCACAGAGTTAATTTTAAAAGATATTTTTGATACCAAATTGGATGGAATTTAGGAGGCAAAAAAGACAGGGGTTTGCCTTTGCCCATTCATAGATGTGAACTGTGTGTAATTTCTCCTTTTCTGACATAATACAGATATAATTGAAACTTTAAAATTTCTCATTAGAAGATAGAAGGTTTTTTTTATTGTTGTTCTGGGGATACATTGTGACATTTACAAAAGTCCTTACAACATATCATAGTTGAATTCACCCCCTCCATCATTCATCTTTATCTTCCCCTCTTCTCTCTCACTCCTGGAGTAGTTTCAACAGGTCTCATTTTTCCATTTACATACATGTGTACACAATATTTGCACTATATTCACCCTCCTACACCCTTTCCCAACATCCACCCCCCTACACTGGTACCAACCTCCACCCCAGACAGGATCTGTTCTGCCCTCCTGGTCTCTGAATTTGTTAAAAAAAAAAAAAAAAGACATTCTTCTTGTTTTAAGATAGCTATAGAGGGAGTCTCATTGTGACATTTTCATATATATATATTATAAATGAAATTGGTCCATTTCCTCTATTTTTCTTCTTTCTACCTTAGTGCCCTTCTTACGGTGATTTCAACAGGTTTAAAAATTCCATATTCATTCTTGTATAGGAGTATATCAACCATATTCACCTTCTTAACTTCCTTATTTTACCCTCCCCCTCTTGTATGTGACCTCCCCTTAGTGTGACCTGTTTTTCACAATATTGCTTGTATTTGTATTAGGTCTATATTCCACATATAAGAGAAAACATGTAGCCTTTGGCTTTCTGAACCTGGCTAATTTCACTTAAGATGATGTTCTCCGGTTCCATCCATTTACCTGCAAATGATAAAATTTCATTCTTCTTTATGGTTGAATAAAGTTCCATTGTGTCTAAATACCACATTTTCTTAATCCATTCATCAGCAGTGAGGCATCTTGGCTGTGTCCATAGCTTAGCTATTGTGAACAGTGCTCCCGTAAACATGGGCATGCAGGTGTCTTTATTGTAAGCTGACTGACAATCCTTTGGCTATATTCCTAGGAGGGGAATTGCTAGATCCTATGGTTAATAGTCATCTGTTTCTCCCCTGCCCCTGAAAATGATTAAAGGGCATGATTGTTATGGAAAATGTACCTTACCTCAGATAAATACAAGATTTTTGTTAAGCTGTTGGAAACCAAGCCCACAGTGCAGAAGTGGCTACATCATGGCACAATTTGTTAATACTAAATATAACTGTATTAACAAATGTCTGGAAGTTGAATCTTTGCATGAGCTCTGTGGAGGTCTGGATGCTAGACATGCTCTGTAATGAGATCTGCTGCTTCCTCAGTACCATGTGTACTGAGTGTAAGAGATGCTGTAGTGGTCCTCTCAAGTTAAGCTTGCGAGGTCTGAAGCCCAAAGACGAGAACCGGGCAACCGGTTACTCTTTCTTGGTCTGGCTTCCCCACTACAAGGTAGGGAGAACTCTGGCACACGCTTCACAGGCTACTGTGGTGACTCAATGCGACTATTCTCATGTGAAATTAGCCCGTGCCTGGAATGTGCTAAATGACACAGAAATTACGTCTGTTCATATTTTCCTCTAACGTACAATGTGACTACTTTCTCTAAAAAAATGGATTGCAAAGTAAAAAAGACAGAAAGTAAGAAAATTTATACGTGTAGAAAATCCTGACTTTTGTTTCTCTTTGTTTTGCCATACTGGAGATCAAACCCAAGGCCTTGTACATAATGCAAAGGCAATTGCTCTGCCACTGAGCTGCACACCCAAGCCCTCCTGTTTAATTCTATTTTACTTAATTTCTATTACATATGTGTAATCTTTTTGAGATAGGATCTTGCTATGTAGACCAGGTGACCTGGTATTTGCAATCCTGCTGCCTCAGCCTCCTGACTGCTGGGATTACAGGCATGTGCCACAATGCCCAGCTTCCGTGTTTTATTTTTAAAAGCAATATTGTGAGAAAAATGTTTCATTGGAATGAAATACTGAAAAAAATCTGGTGGATAAAATATGTCTAGTGAACTAGAAGCAAGATAATATGCCACAGGAAACATAATTTGTGGACCTGAAAGGAAAACAAAGCAAATATTTATTTCTTTATTCATTAAGATACCCATTTTAAAAAGAAGAGAAAATGAAAGTATAATTCCTACAATTAAGAAAAATTAACTTGATTCTAAAAATGTATTGGAATCAATGAGCATTTAAAAAGAAAATAATATCAAAGCAGATATATAGTTCATCAAAAACCATAAAAAGAGAATTTATCAATACTCCTCAAAGGTGATTTACTGTGAATTCCATAAACAAATAAAGATAAAGTGTGTACAGTACTATACTTACATGTTTTTAAATTATATGAATATATGGCTTTTGAGCAAAATATAAATGATCAAAGTTTATCCTGGAGAGATAAAAGCTGAGTGATGAGTAACTGGGAGAAACCAAGGAAGATCTACTAACCTTTTAGGAAGTGCATGATTTAACAATGCTGTCTATAGAAATTGATGCTCATTAAAAGTGCAAATCACATGTGATTTTAAATTTCATTTTTTGTTGGGGTTTTTTTTTTTTTTTTGGTTCAGGGCTTGAACTCAGGGCCTACACCTTGACCACAAGTCCTTTTCTGTGATTTTTTTTTTTCAAGATAGGGTCTTGTGAACTATTTGCCTGAGCTGACTTCAAACTGTAATCCTCCTGATCTCTGTCTTCTGAGTAGCTGGGATTAAAAGTGTGAGCCATTGGCACTCAGTGATTTTAAATTTTCTAATAGCAAGACTCAAAGTGTAAAAAGGGACAGGAAAAATTAAATTTTAATAATATTTCAACACAACATATATAAAAGATTATCATTTCAATATGAAATCAATTTAAAAATCCATTTTACCTTCTCTGAGAGATATACAATTGTATTTTGCATTTAAGGTATATTTTAATCTGGTTGCTAAATTTTTATCAGAAATTACTTTATCTGTATACTTAAATGGTATAGAATTTACAAAAAGTGGATTCACATATCTATGTTGTTCCAAACACTCTTAAAAGTTTTCCAAAGCTGAAATAAGTTTTCACTTTTAAATGTAAATTTACATTAATTTAATGGAAATTAAATTTAAAAATTTTTTAACTTCAGTTCCTAAATCTCAATGGCCACATTTCGGTGATAAGTATATGTACCTGTCCCTGTGGCTGCCATATTAGATAGTGCAAGTTCAGAGAAGTTCATAGTAAAGGTATGAAATCCCGTGCTAGGTAAAGGGCTCCAGAGTATAGAGAAAAATGGAAACTTCTCCATTTCTACAAAGCCAACACAATCCTGCTAAACCTAAAAAAGCCCCCACGTATACAAACACAGATATGCAAAAAGAGAAAATGACAAAATGCCATTTGCTACTTTTAACATAGATACAAGAAATAATCCCAATGACATACTGGCAGTGAAAAGAAAAACATACTAAAATAATAATCCAGCATTCTGTAGCATATGAACCTTCGTTATTCTGAGCAAGTGAGACATATCTATCAATTTACAGCCATGTTTAATAGTTAGGTAAGGCCCATCTATTCAAAGACTGGTGGAAGTCGAGTGCGGGTAGCACATGCCTGAAATCTCAACAAGAGAGAGGGAGGGTGAGGCAGGAAGATTTAGAGTTTGAGGCCAACCTAGGTTACATGGTGAGATTCTGTCTCAACAAACGAACAAACAAAAGCCCTGCTGGAATAAAGCCACCTGTTCTCCTTTTTTGTTTTTTCATTCAGCACCCAAACAGGAATGCTACACTCCAGGTAATATTAATTTGTGCCACTGTCTTCATAAACCTGTGTATATACAGGGCTGGTAGAGTGGCTCAAGTGGTAGAGCACCTGCCTGGCAAGCACGGGGCCCTGTGTTCAAACCCCAGTACCACAAAAATAAACAAATAAAACAAATAACAACAAAAGCTTAGCATATACTTGAGCCCCTGCCACTCCCCACTTAACAAAACCTCCACTGTGACCTTGTGACCTCTTGTTACTATTCTCTATAAGCAGCAAACACCCTACATCTTCAATATCTGCTCTCAGTTCCTCAACCTGACCCTGAGAGCATGGCTTCTCAAAGACAGGTGCTCATACTTCAGGGTCAAGCAAGGACTTCGGAACCCTCTGTATCCCCCCATGACCATTCCAAACCGTTTTGCTCTGGCTTCCGATAACAAATGAGCCTGGTTCTTTAAGGCTCTCCTTTTCATTTCTAGGACATCTTTCCTCTTTTCTCAGTGTTTCCTTTAGCAATCTTTCCATCCTTCTTCAAATACCTCGATGCCTGCCTCATACTCTCTCTCTCCACTCCAGCCTTTCTCCATTCCTCATGGTTTCAACCCTTTGAAGATGATAACCTTGTTCTGTGAACTCATCCTCCTTAATATGTTCTGCTTCACTTCAGTTATAAACCCATGACCCCTCCCTTGGATGTGATCATGACTCACATCTACTCCACCTCCAAAATCTCTGAATTGCAAATGTGGTCACACATTCCTCTTGTTCCTGTTTCCCACTTCAACAACTGAAATAATATGCTACCTTGAAGAACCCTCCCTTTCCCTGCTCCCCTCTACTCTTCTTAGTCCACCAGCCATCTCTTTCACCATTTTCCTTGTGCAGGTTAGATTCCACCATTTGTTACTTCACGTTTCCATTGTCTTGTAGTTTAGGCATAGCTGGTAAAATTCCAACCCTGATGGAACCCACCTTTCCCTTTCTCCGGGCTGTACTTGAGTAGTCAATCAGTGTTGGAACAGAACATACAACATGGTAGATAGACTATCCATATTCACCAGGCTTAAATGAACTCTTACCAACACCTGCGCCAGGTACCTGGTCACATATCTCTAG